TCTTTTAGTTAAGTATAAGAGTAGAATCTTTGATCTTGAAAATAAGTTGAAGGCTGAAATGAGAAAAAATGATGAAATAGAGGAAACACAATCTGCAAACGATGACTTTAAGTAAGTTAAGAACACGTTTCTGTTTCAACTAATCTGAATTAATATATCGTTTATATAATAGAAAGACAAATTTAATTTTCAGTTACGCTCAATCATTGTTAGCCGCTAAAAAAAAAGAGCTTAAGGAACTGAATGAAAAAATTGAGAAGCAAACTATGCAGATGCTGGTGCAAGACGAAGTGAACAACAACATCTCAAGACAGCTTCGTTACTGGCAATCTAAAGCAAAATTTTTGGAAGTAAGTTTCTACAAAAAAAAGAAATTGTATCTTGTTGTTTAAGATTTTTTTATATAAAATCTCTTTTATATATTCTAGACTCAAAACAAGGTCATAAAAGACCAACTAGAAATGCAAGATAAATGTGATAATAAAATACTTCTTGAATCTATAAAGAATTGCACATTTCCTGATAACGCGAATTTTGAAAAGACCTGTAGTGATTCACTTCCACCTCATGAGCTCATGCCAAAGAGTATTCTCGAATCTGAACTTGCAAAGCAAGGAAATTCAACAGAGGTGATAGAAAAGCCAGCAGTAAATTTTGCAAATGAACAGAAAGAATGTAGAAGATTTGTAGGTTTTACTAGTGATACTAAAAACTCTGAGAATAAACCTTTGAAAAAACATGAAAAAACGAAAAAACGTAACTATCCTATTATAGTTCATACAATTGATAATGATAACTTAAATTAATTTTATTTTACGCAAAAACGCGTCGAATGAGCCTAATATTTCATCAAAATCGGAGGTGAGGTAGCTCTCTCTCTCTCTTCTAAAGAATTACCTAGATTAATTTTGTACTGTACGGTATTATATAATACATATCATATTAGCGTTTTATCAAATAACTATTTGATATATATACATATAAACATATATACATATATATGAAAAACATGGAATTATCAAAATAGAGGAAAATAATTAGATAAGGATAAATGGATAAGATGTAAATATATTTTTAAGCGTATAATTTAATAAAACACTCACAAGCTATTTTATATCTTTTTAAAATTGTGTTTTACTATTTACCTCTTTCCTATTCAACGCGGACTAATCACAGTCTTCTAAAAATTGTCGACTTTGCCTTCATGTTTAAAGACAGTGTCATATATGTTCACTCATTCTCTCGCATGTAAAAATCACGGATAATAAAAAATCCTTTATTTATATTTTCACATAAATTTATGCAATACTCACAGATAGGACATAAATACACATACGTGAACTAAAACAAGGACAGCTCGGAATCAGATTCATCTCTTTTTATCATAATTAGTTGGCAGTTTATAGAAGTTGTAATACCAACGTGCGAACAATGTGTTAAATTTTTCACGTATTTTACTTCTTTTCGTCAGAGGACTCGCCTGTCGACGCGAGTCACATCTTCATAAGTTTATACACATCGATATATATAATGGCTGGCAACACGCAGTTCTCTTGCTGTGTTTAGATAAATTGTTGCTGTTTACTACGAAGAATCGTTTTTCTTGAATTAAATTCGATGACAGCAAGAATTATTAAGATCATATCCTGAAAAACTACGAAACTATTTGATAGCGTCATTTGAATCGACATCCCACCTATTACGAGAAAAAGTGAATTCAACACGAACTTTATTATGTTGTTTTTCGCATGGATTACGATGTTTAAGACATACTTAAGGTATTTGTAAAATTGTTAAATAATGGAGCATTCAAAGAGAACCTTATCTGATGAGGAGCCAAAAATTCTCGAACCTGTTTTAATAAAAACTGTCACGAACGAACGCATAAATATCGACAAAAATGAGGTAAGAAATGCGTTAACATAATGTTAGAAAAATTTGTATTGAATGCATATTAAAGATATTTTTACAATGTTACTTGAAGACTCGTTTCCAAATTTTTGGAATGTGTAGAATATAATTTTTTTTCCTTTTGTACAGTTTAAGATTGGACGTGCCAGAGATAATGATGAAATAATATTGGATGTCATGATATCTAGAAGACACTGCATTTTTAGATGTATAGGCCAGAATGAATGGACGCTTAAGGATTTAAGTTCTAGTGGAACATTTGTCAATGGTAATACTATTGGCCCTGGTGAAGTACAAAACGTTCGTCCTGGTGATACTATACAATTTAGTCCTAATGAAACGTTTAGATATGTATTTACCCTTACCGAGAAAGAGCATTGTGTCAAGAAAGCACGTATAGATGAAAAGATACTCGACACTGTACTTGTCAAGCAAAGAACGTTTGCCAAAAATCAAGAATGTCAAAGAAAACAACTAAAAAATAAGCTTGAAATAAATCAAAAAGAGCAAGTCAAGTTAAAACAGCAACTTGAAAATCTGTTGTCTCAACAAGCTATGGCTAAAGATGATAATGAGAATTTATTAAAACAAGTTATCATATTAGAAGAAAAAATAAAGACATGTAATTCTCAAGAAGGACATCTGAACAATATGTATTCTCAGTTATTGCAAAAGTTGGAGAATGAAAGGCTGCAGTTTGAAGCAAGGTTAAACGAGGAGAAACAGAAATGGCAAGAAGCATTAGACATGAGTAAGCAAGAAAAAGAGATGCTGGAAATAAAAATGAAAGATCAAATGGAAAAATGGAGAGAAGAGCAGCAAGTAGAATGGAAAAACATGATGGAGAGCAAGGTAAAGGAAGAGAAAAACATTCAGGCTCAGTTAATGAATGAGAAGACCATGTTAGAAGAAAAATTGAAGAACCATGTGAATGAGAAGACCATGTTAGAAGAAAAATTAAAAGAAACGGAAAAAGCCTTAAAAGAACAAGAAGCCAAAGCAGAAAATTCGCAAGCAATATTGAATAGTAAGTTGTAATAAATTTATATACAAATATACACTGATTGTTCTACATTTATATAATGTTATTTTTAATAGTGTGTTCTTTATTAAAATTTTGAAACAATTGTTTATTATACATTACTAAATCATTGATAATTTTTTTTTAGTAAATACATCAGGTGAAATTGCAAGTACATCGGAGTGTATATTCTTAAACTTGAATGGAGATCAATTCGAGGTTCCACAGTATGAAATAATAGACACGATAGATCTAACTGAAATAAATCAAAATATCTTAGAGACTAATATTAATGAAAATATTCTTGGAAAAGTCAGCAACATTATGGATGAACAATTGACATGTGCCATATGCTCAGAATTATTTATTAAAGCAACAACATTGAATTGTGCACATACATTTTGTCACCACTGCATAAATTCATGGAATAAGAAACAGAAAAATTGCCCTGTCTGTAGGAAGCCAGTGATATCGATGATTAGATCATTGGTTTTAGATAATTTTATTGAAAGTATGATCGATAACTTGCCTACTGAACTTAAAAATAGAAGAAAAGAAATTATACAAGACAGAAAAGGTAAAATTTTAATTATAATAATGTGTTTTATACATTAAATATAACATTCTCTAATTTAACTATTTGATTTGTCTGATATACTTCTATTTCAGTATTAACAACGAAGAAAAGGATGTATTAAAGTGCGAGTTGCACGAAATGCAAGATGGGTACTAATATTTTTATTTTAATGTTAAATATATCCTAAGAAGAATGTTTATTTGATCGATAATTTGTACTGAATGTTGGTGAAGTTTTGTTCCCTAAGGTCGGTATTCATAGTCTGTTCTTATTTCAAGATCAGCTTAAAATGCTATGGCTTCCTCTGATTAGTGCATAACTTATACAGAGTGAACCAGAGTCGTTGAACTAGCTTTTTATTCTATGAGAAAATTATCGACTGTACATACGTTATAATCCAATAAGTATGAAGTCGATAATTTTCTCATAGATAAAATGTTGGTTCAACGACTCTGATTTATCCTGTATATATTAATATATTTTATATATATATATATATATATATATATATATATATATGTATATATATATATATATGA